GCGCTCTCCGCGACCTGCTTGCTGGTGGTCGCACGGGCCGTGATTGCAGGGATGGGGACCAATGCTCCAGGTCATCCCGGTTGTAATTGTGAAGAGGATTGGGGGCTGCTTGAGCTAGTGACCCGGTGTCAGTTGGCCAGCGACTTCCTGATCGCCCTGGCGTACTTCTCTATTCCGCTGGAGCTGGTGTACTTCGTCAGTTTCTCGCACGTCTTTCCATTTAGATGGATTATTATCCAGTTTGGAACGTTTATCGTGTTGTGCGGCCTGACGCACTTTATAGCGATATGGACCTACGGTCCGCATTCATTTCTTATCATGCTGATTCAAACAATTCTGAAGATTGCAACTGCGCTAGTGTCGTGTGCTACTGCTATCACGCTGGTCCACGTTATTCCAACTCTGCTTCATGTCAAGGTGAGCCAGAGTGTTTTTTGTGTTGATTTGAGTTGGGTTGTGCTGGGTTAGGGTTTCCCCCTTCGGATGTTGGGCAGGCTGATGCATGTACCAACTTCATGGAGTGTTGCACACCGAGTCACGTCACGTTTGAATGATCGGCAACGAGTGCAGCGATCGATGATGGTCTGGTAATTTACTTCTCTAGGTGCGGGAGCTGTTTTTGAAGCACAAGGCTGCTGAGCTAGATAGGGAAATGGGTATCATTAAGGATCAAGAGGAGGCGGGGCGGCATGTTCGTATGCTGACAAACGAGATTCGGAGCACCCTTGACCGTCACACCATTCTGAACACAACGCTTGTGGAGCTGGCGAAGACGCTGGAACTTGCAAACTGCACAATCTGGGAACCCAACGTCGAGGGTGATGCGATAAAGCTGACTCATGAGCTTGACAGACGATATCTGCAGGTCACCTCTCGCACTGTCTCCTGTTCGCCACGTGCTCATGTTGCGAAAGAACTCGTTTTGAACGGTGTGGTTTGTGTCAACTTTCATTCCGCAGAGTGTTTCAGCAATAAGTTGTGATTAGAAGCTGCGAGGAGGACGGTGTTTGGTTGGTGATGGGGCCCGGGTTGTGGTGTACGTTGTGCGTTGTCTGAGATTTGGTTTATGGGGCTGTCATGCTTCCGCCGCTAAGAAAGGCATGGGATGTTCGGTTTTGCAGGTCCCCGTCACGATTCCAGCATCTGACAAAACTGTGCAGCAAATTATTCAGACCAGCGAAGCGATAGTGATTCCTCCTGTTTGTGCTCTTGGGAAGGCAAGCAATCATCGCGTTCTAGCCGGTGCTATGGCAGCAGTTCGTCTGCCTTTGCTGTACGTTTCAAATTTTAAGGGAGGCACGCCCGAAGTGGTCAGTGCGTCTTACGCTATCCTGGTGTTGGTGTTGCCCGGTGAAACCGGTCGAGTGTGGACAGCCCACGAAATCGAGATGGTGGAGGTTGTTGCAGATCAGGTAATCTTGGTGGCATTGCTGCCGAAACACTTGAGCTTCGGTCGAGTGTGCCACATTGCGTTTGTTATGTCAATTTTTGAGGAAGACATGCTTTGGTGCGGTTGACGGGGATACTGGGATGCGATGCACGTTGGTGAGGATGTCTTATCGTTTGCGATAGAGGGGGTGGACATGAGCTTTGCTGGATTGGTGAATTCCGTAGAATTTATCCTGGAAATGTGTTGCTTTTAGGTTGCAGTGGCTTTGTCTCACGCGGCAGTGCTAGAGGATTCCCAACGTACGAGAGACGCGCTGGTGGACCAAAACAAAAAACTGCAAGCTGCGCGGCAGGAAGCAGAAACAGCTATTCGTGCCCGCAACGATTTCCTGGCAGTAATGAACCACGAAATGCGAACTCCAATGCATGCGATCATTGCCCTGTCTTCGTTGTTACAAGAGGGAAAGCTGACGGTGGATCAGCGGAGTATGGTTGATACCGTTGTGAAAAGTAGCAGTCTGCTGTCGACCTTGATCAATGACGTGCTCGACTTTTCACGGCTGGAGGATGGAAGTTTGAGTTTGGAGATGCGTCCTTTTGAGCTCCCAACCGTTTTGAGGGAGGCCGAGAATCTTGCCAAACCGATGGCGAAGGGGAAAGGGCTGGACTTCTTTTTCGACATAAATATGGATGTACCGCAGTGTGTGATAGGGGACGAAAAGCGCCTCCTCCAAATCACTTTGAATATAATTGGTAATGCGGTGAAGTTCACTAGGCTCGGATTCGTGTCCGTCTCCGTGAGCCTGGAGAAGTACGATGCGAGTATTAGACGGGACCCGAGGAACCCGAGCTGGCGCCCGATACCATGCGACGGTTTTGTGTACATTCGTATTGTTGTGAAGGATACCGGATTGGGAGTGAGGGAGAACGACATCCCTCGGCTGTTCAACAAGTTTGTGCAAGCCGACAGCACAACCACTCGTCAGTACGGGGGCACTGGACTAGGTTTGGCAATCTGCAAGAAGTTTGTTCAGGTTTGTGAAGTGCATCCTTCTATGTATCGTGATTTTTTGCATTTTCTGCTTTTGGTTCGTCGTAACCCGTGATCATCAGGTTTGATTTAGATTCTGGCAGCTGTATTGACTTGAGTGTTTGGATGTGTGTTCGTTATCCTTTCTGATGACCTTACTTATGATCACCGCCGTGCAGCTCATGAATGGTCACATTTGGATTGAAAGCGAGGGTATAAACAGAGGTTCTGTAGTAACCTTCATAGTGAGGTTACAGGTGCAGTCGGATTCAGCCAAGGAAAGAGGTAGGCCGTCTCGTGAGGAGCAACTGAATAAAGAAGACCTGAAAGGTCTGAAAGTTCTAGTTACAGACGACAACAGCGTGAACCGCATTGTGACCAAAAGACTATTAGATAGGTTAGGTTGTTACACGACTGTAGTGGAATCAGGGCAACAGTGTCTGGCTGCTCTGTCGCAGCCTGGCAGTGGATTTAGGGTTCTCTTGCTGGATTTGTGCATGCCGGAGATGGACGGATATGAAGTGGCCAGGATCATCAAGCAAAAGTTTCGACAGGGGGAGCCTTTAGTCGTTGCTTTGACAGCGAATACGGACAAGAATACGAAAGAGCGGTGTATGCAGATCGGAATGGATGAGGTTGTGTTGAAGCCGATCTCGCTGCAAGAGATGAGCGCCGTGCTGTGCAAATTGTTGCACAACCCAAAGAGCGGTTCTCGTTCCCACGGCATGGTGAATGGAAGATAGTAGACTTCCGCAGGTGAATAGCTCCACAGCATATGTGCGATGTACAAAGTTCAATTTTATCTTCGTGCCGAATTTCCTCTCTTGTTCTACATCTGTCGCAATCCGCTGGGCAGTACCTCACGCTGTTGCAGTATTTTTGTTCGCTTGGGTGTGGTTCAGTAAGATTTTGGGTTGCTTTATAAAATGTTGTACTTTTGAAGTGTCGGATAAGTGTTGAGGCGAGGATTGTTTGCTCTGATTTTGGAAGTCGACGTCGAACATCGAGGATGTCGTGAATGTGTACTGAAAGGGAGGGTTTTGCAATGGTTGCGACGCGCGAAATCAGAGTCGGATCTGTGCAGAGGAGCTTCCTGGTAATGACGATAAATGAGGTGTATTTGAGACTCAGGGCGGTGGTAAGAGAGTATTTGGGATTGTTGTTTTTGATGGGGATGGAAAATTCGCGCTTTGCCGTGTTCTGCTCTTGGCCCACAATGTGTTGTGGTCTTGACTGATGAGCGCCCGGTCGGCGCCATTCCGTCCCTCCTTTCATTTTTTTATTTCTTTGTCAACATAGTAATCTACTAATATTAGAAATGGCACGGCTGTCTATTGTCACAGAGCATAGTCATTGTTGAAATTGCTTATACCATATTGCTGCCATTTCAGTAAATCAGTTACAAGTTTTGTACTATCATTGCGCTTAATCACAAAGATTGAACTTTTGTTATTTTCTAACTTTTGACGGTGAAATGCGATACATGACTCTTCAGCTAATCAATGATGCCAAGGGAAGATTATTGATTGATTCGTAAAAAAGTTTGCATGTCTTCTTCACAGGGATTAGTGGATATCTGCTAGCTTTGACTCAGAAAAGCTGTTATAAAACAACTGAGTGCTATTCCACTGCAAACGACATCACTCAAACGCCCAAGATGCATGACGAAAAAAGGCTCACCAAAGTAGACAAACAACATTCAATTTCAAATAACCATTAAAGAGAAACAAATTAAAACTAGGAAACCAGAAAGAAGTAAGAATCCACCAATGATAGACTCAAGGTGTTCGAAAATGCTACAAAAAAAGAAAAATGAAAGGAGGGACGGAATGGCGCCGACCGGGCGCTCATCAGTCAAGACCACAACACATTGTGGGCCAAGAGCAGAACACGGCAAAGCGCGAATTTTCCATCCCCATCAAAAACAACAATCCCAAATACTCTCTTACCACCGCCCTGAGTCTCAAATACACCTCATTTATCGTCATTACCAGGAAGCTCCTCTGCACAGATCCGACTCTGATTTCGCGCGTCGCAACCATTGCAAAACCCTCCCTTTCAGTACACATTCACGACATCCTCGATGTTCGACGTCGACTTCCAAAATCAGAGCAAACAATCCTCGCCTCAACACTTATCCGACACTTCAAAAGTACAACATTTTATAAAGCAACCCAAAATCTTACTGAACCACACCCAAGCGAACAAAAATACTGCAACAGCGTGAGGTACTGCCCAGCGGATTGCGACAGATGTAGAACAAGAGGAAATTCGGCACGAAGATAAAATTGAACTTTGTACATCGCACATATGCTGTGGAGCTATTCACCTGCGGAAGTCTACTATCTTCCATTCACCATGCCGTGGGAACGAGAACCGCTCTTTGGGTTGTGCAACAATTTGCACAGCACGGCGCTCATCTCTTGCAGCGAGATCGGCTTCAACACAACCTCATCCATTCCGATCTGCATACACCGCTCTTTCGTATTCTTGTCCGTATTCGCTGTCAAAGCAACGACTAAAGGCTCCCCCGGTCGAAACTTTTGCTTGATGATCCTGGCCACTTCATATCCGTCCATCTCCGGCATGCACAAATCCAGCAAGAGAACCCTAAATCCACTGCCAGGCTGCGACAGAGCAGCCAGACACTGTTGCCCTGATTCCACTACAGTCGTGTAACAACCTAACCTATCTAATAGTCTTTTGGTCACAATGCGGTTCACGCTGTTGTCGTCTGTAACTAGAACTTTCAGACCTTTCAGGTCTTCTTTATTCAGTTGCTCCTCACGAGACGGCCTACCTCTTTCCTTGGCTGAATCCGACTGCACCTGTAACCTCACTATGAAGGTTACTACAGAACCTCTGTTTATACCCTCGCTTTCAATCCAAATGTGACCATTCATGAGCTGCACGGCGGTGATCATAAGTAAGGTCATCAGAAAGGATAACGAACACACATCCAAACACTCAAGTCAATACAGCTGCCAGAATCTAAATCAAACCTGATGATCACGGGTTACGACGAACCAAAAGCAGAAAATGCAAAAAATCACGATACATAGAAGGATGCACTTCACAAACCTGAACAAACTTCTTGCAGATTGCCAAACCTAGTCCAGTGCCCCCGTACTGACGAGTGGTTGTGCTGTCGGCTTGCACAAACTTGTTGAACAGCCGAGGGATGTCGTTCTCCCTCACTCCCAATCCGGTATCCTTCACAACAATACGAATGTACACAAAACCGTCGCATGGTATCGGGCGCCAGCTCGGGTTCCTCGGGTCCCGTCTAATACTCGCATCGTACTTCTCCAGGCTCACGGAGACGGACACGAATCCGAGCCTAGTGAACTTCACCGCATTACCAATTATATTCAAAGTGATTTGGAGGAGGCGCTTTTCGTCCCCTATCACACACTGCGGTACATCCATATTTATGTCGAAAAAGAAGTCCAGCCCTTTCCCCTTCGCCATCGGTTTGGCAAGATTCTCGGTCTCCCTCAAAACGGTTGGGAGCTCAAAAGGACGCATCTCCAAACTCAAACTTCCATCCTCCAGCCGTGAAAAGTCGAGCACGTCATTGATCAAGGTCGACAGCAGACTGCTACTTTTCACAACGGTATCAACCATACTCCGCTGATCCACCGTCAGCTTTCCCTCTTGTAACAACGAAGACAGGGCAATGATCGCATGCATTGGAGTTCGCATTTCGTGGTTCATTACTGCCAGGAAATCGTTGCGGGCACGAATAGCTGTTTCTGCTTCCTGCCGCGCAGCTTGCAGTTTTTTGTTTTGGTCCACCAGCGCGTCTCTCGTACGTTGGGAATCCTCTAGCACTGCCGCGTGAGACAAAGCCACTGCAACCTAAAAGCAACACATTTCCAGGATAAATTCTACGGAATTCACCAATCCAGCAAAGCTCATGTCCACCCCCTCTATCGCAAACGATAAGACATCCTCACCAACGTGCATCGCATCCCAGTATCCCCGTCAACCGCACCAAAGCATGTCTTCCTCAAAAATTGACATAACAAACGCAATGTGGCACACTCGACCGAAGCTCAAGTGTTTCGGCAGCAATGCCACCAAGATTACCTGATCTGCAACAACCTCCACCATCTCGATTTCGTGGGCTGTCCACACTCGACCGGTTTCACCGGGCAACACCAACACCAGGATAGCGTAAGACGCACTGACCACTTCGGGCGTGCCTCCCTTAAAATTTGAAACGTACAGCAAAGGCAGACGAACTGCTGCCATAGCACCGGCTAGAACGCGATGATTGCTTGCCTTCCCAAGAGCACAAACAGGAGGAATCACTATCGCTTCGCTGGTCTGAATAATTTGCTGCACAGTTTTGTCAGATGCTGGAATCGTGACGGGGACCTGCAAAACCGAACATCCCATGCCTTTCTTAGCGGCGGAAGCATGACAGCCCCATAAACCAAATCTCAGACAACGCACAACGTACACCACAACCCGGGCCCCATCACCAACCAAACACCGTCCTCCTCGCAGCTTCTAATCACAACTTATTGCTGAAACACTCTGCGGAATGAAAGTTGACACAAACCACACCGTTCAAAACGAGTTCTTTCGCAACATGAGCACGTGGCGAACAGGAGACAGTGCGAGAGGTGACCTGCAGATATCGTCTGTCAAGCTCATGAGTCAGCTTTATCGCATCACCCTCGACGTTGGGTTCCCAGATTGTGCAGTTTGCAAGTTCCAGCGTCTTCGCCAGCTCCACAAGCGTTGTGTTCAGAATGGTGTGACGGTCAAGGGTGCTCCGAATCTCGTTTGTCAGCATACGAACATGCCGCCCCGCCTCCTCTTGATCCTTAATGATACCCATTTCCCTATCTAGCTCAGCAGCCTTGTGCTTCAAAAACAGCTCCCGCACCTAGAGAAGTAAATTACCAGACCATCATCGATCGCTGCACTCGTTGCCGATCATTCAAACGTGACGTGACTCGGTGTGCAACACTCCATGAAGTTGGTACATGCATCAGCCTGCCCAACATCCGAAGGGGGAAACCCTAACCCAGCACAACCCAACTCAAATCAACACAAAAAACACTCTGGCTCACCTTGACATGAAGCAGAGTTGGAATAACGTGGACCAGCGTGATAGCAGTAGCACACGACACTAGCGCAGTTGCAATCTTCAGAATTGTTTGAATCAGCATGATAAGAAATGAATGCGGACCGTAGGTCCATATCGCTATAAAGTGCGTCAGGCCGCACAACACGATAAACGTTCCAAACTGGATAATAATCCATCTAAATGGAAAGACGTGCGAGAAACTGACGAAGTACACCAGCTCCAGCGGAATAGAGAAGTACGCCAGGGCGATCAGGAAGTCGCTGGCCAACTGACACCGGGTCACTAGCTCAAGCAGCCCCCAATCCTCTTCACAATTACAACCGGGATGACCTGGAGCATTGGTCCCCATCCCTGCAATCACGGCCCGTGCGACCACCAGCAAGCAGGTCGCGGAGAGCGCCCATCTCCACAGCTTAGCCATTACCGATGCACCAACACTTCTAGCACACCTTGTCCACGATCACTGTACTGCCTTGGTCAGGAGTTCCATACAATAACCCGACCGCTGCAAATACTTTTCCATGCGGCTTCTGCAAAACAATTTTCTTTGAACATGAAATACATTTCATAAAAACACAATCACAAACTCAGCTAGACAACTTCTACAGATAACGAAATCAACCCTCAGAATACAATCTGCCACGCTGCACATGCCCCGGCAGCACTCAACAGCTGTCCGTCAGCTCCTGCTCAATCCAACCTTCAATACTCTTATCATGCACTTTCTGGGTGTGCTCTCTGGGTCAAACATGGAACCCAACACTCATTCACCCACCTCACGAAAATCGCCTACACCAAACTTCCATAAACCGATCCAACCAGTTCCTAAATCCCTGGAAAGATAACATCTCCATTACATCTCTCTGGCTGACTGGCTGGCTAAACGAAGCGTTCAAGCAGTAAAGTAAAGTAGCAGGCAAATCATGGGTCTTGTATTCGATTAGAGTCCTCGGATAAAACCCACGGACATTGCAGAAGAAAAGCATTCCATTCCACAACATCTACCCCCCTCCCCTTTGACAAACGAGAGATTGCACATGCTGCATCACGAAGAAGACTGTCACTAGCGGATTGCTCTACAAGAAACTTTAGGTCAGTGATGCCCTTGAAGCCGCGACAACTGCCTTCAAACACGAGTGCAATCATCTTAAAACCATTTGCCTCAAATGCTTTACACATACTGTATCATGCATGCCAGTGACCTGTATGTGCAAATAGGTCAAAACCACTCACCAAGCAATAGGGCGCACAACTTGGGGTGCGGGAACCTCTTATGCACACTGATAATCGATTGATCCTTCCTATACAAGAAGAATGTCGCCTTGTGCCCACTTCTGCTGCAAGGAGCTGACGAATTCCGCGCGTCTAATCCACCTTTTTCAGAAGGCAAAGTGCGCACCTTTCAGCAGGCTCGCATCATCTAGGTCTGTCGTATCTGCAGATCTAGAACTTCCACAGATATGAAACAATCCGCGTGTCGACGACCGGCTTGCGTCCACATCATGTCCACATAAAAAAGTAAAGGTGCTCGAACACATCCACCACCATCAACTGCGAACAACACACATCAATCAAGAGCTCCTGCCTTCCTCTTCCTCTTCTTCTTTCCCAATTCAATCCAACCACCGCGGTTGCTTCAAACGGGCTTCATTCCTTTCTTATGCACAAGCTTCCATGTCACGACAACTCTACACACTCCACAAACCCGTCTTCCTTGATGATGCAGAAAGAGATCCAAAACGCATGAAACAGGACCCCTCAAACCGCAACACCCCAGTCCATACTCGTATCCCCTCTCGTGCCACGCACCTGGAGTTCTCCTCCGAGCCTCAGACCAAACGCACTCTCAAGCTCAAAGACCAGTCCACGGCACACACAACCTCCCCCACAAAGTCAACACCGCCACTCAAAACCCTCCAAATTCCCTCTGCCGCACGTTACCAAAAGTCCACACCGGCAACACCCCCTCAAACCCCACAAAACCAACCCATGCGGGCGTCAAACGGGGCCCAAATTGGGCGCCAACATCACGACGTGTGAACCAGGGAGCACTGACATCGACTGGCAGGAATGGCTACGGCGGTGCCTGGGCCGCGACCTGGCGTGATCTAAGCCCGAAGAAGGCCGGAATGGCCATGGCTGGTTTAGGGTTCCAAGTAAGCAACCAAAACACACTTGCCTGCAACAACTTCGGACGCAGTACCAGCTGGAACCCAGAAACACAATCCAAAACAAGACGGAGCCTGCTCCACAGTGCCACTAACCACTGCCACTGCTACAATCAGAACACCGCTAGAGGCTAGGCTCAGGCTTGCCTCACCAGTGTATACCTTCCACATGCAGCAGCAAGGTACGACCAGCCTACGACGCTAAACAAAGCCAGAGGGGACACACGATTCCCGGACAGTTGGGCCCCATGCCGGGATTGCTGGCGCGTCGAGGTTGGTCCCGCGCTGCCCCTCCCCCGCCACAAGAAGGAAAGTTCCAGCCCAGGACTCATCCCCGCCCTCCGAGCTCGATCTGCCTCCGTTGCCCCTGCCCCTCACATATTACCTTATTACACATGGATTTTCGATTCACCTGCGGTGAGGGCTCGCTGCCATGAAGGTAGCCCCACTGACTGACAGCAGTAGCGGAAGCGGAGCACTTGGACTGGGCTCATGCCCAGTCATCATCCGAATCCGACTCCACTTACCTCTCGCCAGGAGAGCATCTTCCCCGTCGCCATACTGTGTCTCTCTCGGTTCGTTTCAATTCTTTGACGCCATTCGTCACTGTGCGTCCAACTTTTGTGTCTGAAAGGAATCGTTGGGGATCCGCCAGTTTCCAGGTTCCGGCGTGAGTCGCTGTTGTTGGTTACGTCTTCGAGTGCACGCTAGTTCAGTCTCCTTCCGTTTTCTCCTTCGCATTGCGCATGGAGACCCGTACGAGCAACTCGCCTCCTTCTTTCAGCAGTTTGTCACCGCAGCGAGTCAACGGGTTTTTCAGGGGAATGGGACGATCAGCCAAGATTCGAAAGTCACTTGGGATCGGCCTGCGGGGAGAAAACCAACAACGCCTCTGCTGCGCCCCTTCGCCACCCCCGAACAGAGTCACTCCTGGAGTGCACGTGCCATGCCCGACCCGCTCTCCATGTGTGCCCCGATCTCAACATTCTGTGATTTCTACGTGAAACTCCACGACATTAGACACCATGGAGACGCATCAGAACGAATCCTTCCGGACATGTTTTTCGTCCGCCTCAAGCCATGAAGCGGTGCTGCTTCACAGGCGCACCAAGGGCGTGCGGGAATCGTATTGGCAGGTGGGGTCGCGGGTGGCTGCGGCGCGATCCCGAGGTGGCCCGTGTCCAAGATGGCAGGACCTGGGTGAGGGTTTTCCTTCCGGGATCGATCGCGGCAGGGCACGACCAGGGCGTTGTCCTGCATGGCTTGCAGGCAGGGCAATCGCAAGCGCCTTGTCTTGAGCTTTGTTTGGCTTTGCGGTCGAGTCGGTGTGCAGCCAAGAGTTGTCGGGCTGGCACTGGTGTGATTACAGCAGGGGTTCGGAAGTGCTGGGTGCAAGATGATTTTAGGTGAAGGGCTACAAGTTGTGACGTTTTCCAGCCTTCATGATCATGAATGAGTGATTTGTATGTGACGAAAGAGGTTTGGTTTTTCGCTAGGAGTCGAGCATAGTCTCTCAAGCTGGTGGCGCTGAGAGGCAGTCATTACATAACTATTCGATGGTTGTACAGAACACTTGTATGGTAAGCCGCAGTTGTTGTAAGAGATCAGTTTTAGCGCATGGTTCGAAAGGTGGGTGCGTGAATCTACGGCGTCTGTGCTGTATGCACACGCCGCGAAGCACGAGTGTCGACGATGCTGTTAATGTGTGCGATACGGTGAAGGGGATGAGGAGGGTTGGGTGTGTGGGGCTTAAGAATCTACTGCTCCATACCCAGCATTACGAATGCGTTGCGAGGGGGACATGTTGTCGATGCCTTCAGTAGCGTGGGGTGGGACGCCACCCAGTTTGTGTTGTGGTTACCAGACGTCACGAGTCTCTTGATCATGGTCGACAACAAGCACGCCACCCATGTCTCTACGACGAAATGGTGAGCAGGTGGTCGTCTGCAGCAATGGCTGTCCACTCTTGAATTCCCATGGGAACAGAGAAGAAAGCACAAAGCTGTGTGAATCATTATCGTCGGACTCAGCCAACACGCAGCTGCCGAAGCTGATGACGGGGTGCTCACGAAGCAAGCATCGGAACGTCAAGGGCACCACCAGAAAGTGACTCAACAGCCAATAATTTCACATCCACACTGACACACATATAAGTCCTTAAAATTTTCCTTTGATAATAGAAGTTACAAATTTATCTCTCTTAATTTGATTTATGTGCTTATTAGTGTTGTATGTTTTTTGAATTTCATATCAACATTTCATGATTAAGTCCAATTAAGTCCAATCAAGTATATCTTGAAAACCACTTGTGAGTGATATTATGAATAATACTTCCTAATCTCATGATATTTTTAAATTTGAATTTAAAGACATAATTCTCAATTTTAAGGGGTGCTTACTTGTTCTTAAAGAAAAATCACAATTTCTTGTTCTTTAAGCAATTCATGATTTTCTAATTATAAGACATTTTGAATTTGATATAAGCTTAAAGTTGACGTCAAGAGATTTTTGGTGGCTCCATTTGAAGAATATAACAAAATTTTATGTAGAATTATGTATTAAGGGAATTAATAAAAAAATAAAAACAAAACAAAAAAAAATATTTGTACACTCTTGTATCATTCAAAAAGAATAGATATTTATTCAAAAATATTATAATATAAAAACTTGAATGGCTTTTGCTAAAGACAAAAAGAACATACATTCTTAAAATAAGATTTGGAACAAAAAAATGCTTTGATAAGAATAAGACTTACTAAACAAGAAGTTTAAAATATACCCTATCAATTTGTATAGGTTCAAGCCTTCAATGGATAAGTTTCTTAAAACTTAGGAGTTGTCATCATGACTTGACTTATTCCTTTCTAACCAAATTTATATACTTTGCATCTTATAAAAAATTGATTGTTGCATGCAATGGCTCGGACAATAAATTATTTCAATGGGTTTGTTCTTGGCTTTGTCAATAATAAGTCTTTGACATTATCTTATAATTCATTATGAAATAGATTAATAAAGACTTTATCATTTTATTACACATTGTCATATTACATGTTGTCTTGTTTAAAAATGTACTAAGTACTTGGATGTAGAAGTTAAAGTGGAATTTTGCAACAACTAAGAACATAAAAATCTTATTAAAATTCTATATAAATCTCAATTGAATTGTAAAAATTCTAATCAAACCTTAATCAAATTCTAATCAAACCTTAATCAAATTCTAATGAAACCTTAAAAAAACTTTAAAAGAATCATAAAGAAGTCCTAAAAAATCCCTAAAGAAATCATAAAAAACTTTGAAAAAATCCTAACAAATCATATGTAAATCTTAAAGAAATATTAAAAAGAAATTATTAGAAAACCATAGGTAAATTTTAAGCAAGTCCTATTGTTTTTTTTTTTTTTGTTTTTTTGTTTTTTTTTTTTTTTTTTTGTAAAAAAAAATCTAACAAACTCTATTGAAATCTTAGATAAATTCTAACAATTTTTTAAAAATACTAAAGAATTACAATTAAATCCTATCTAAATTATATAACAAACTCAAAACCTCAAGGACTAACAATTTAACTATTGATCTTAACTCAAAATTTGCATACCTCTAAATATCTTAGTTGAAAACAAGCTAAATAGATTTGAAGATGATCAATCTTGTCTAATGGGAGAAAATCTCATAGTCTATTTTGGTGTTGACTAACCTCTTTTTCAAACCTTGATGTCAATTTTCCAATGCTAATATTTCTTGTTTTCACTATTTAATTATTTTCAAATTTTGAATTATTTTTGCAATCAAGCCTACTACTAATATATCAAATTTTATCTATGTTTAATCAAGCAATTGTTGCAAATTATAGAAATCTTCATTGACTTTCCAAAATCCAATTTCTAAGATTTTGACTCATATGAATTTTTGTAACCATTAAATTAACTTGTTTGACCAAGCTCAAATATACAACATACATTTAAGACAACTATAATCACAAACCTATAATGTTTTACTTATAGATTTGCTACAAATCTCACAAAATGCTCTAAAATATAAATCTTTTTTATTTCACAAAAACTAGAGTCATTTTAAAACAACTTTAACTTAATTAAGCTCCTATAAAGCCTTTACAAATTCAAATCACCCAATATCAATGTTTGGAGAATCTTCCTTTAGTTTTTTTCTCAAATTCACTCTTTGATCTATATAGAAATCCTTAAGTTACCATTGGTGTGTGTTTCATATTTGGAGGTCTAAGTTTGATTTTAATTCACAATTGATCATCATTAAGGTTCAATTTCTAGCTTTTGAAGGTTATTTTTGCTTTAATCTACTCTCATTGGTCTTCTAAAGATGAATATATATTTTTTGGTTTTCTAATCAACATTTGTTTTGTCTTGTTTATTATCTTATAAAGTAAATAAAAGTCTTTTTTTTTAAATAAAAAATTTAATTTACAATAAATCTATATTCTATCTTTTTATATTTTATATATATTTTTTAAAACTATAATTCATATATTCTTATTTCTTGTTGTGGCTAAGTTTCAACATAACATCCTTACAAGCATTCTTTTGGAATTCAATAGTTTATATGGTTGCTAAATATAATTCCTATTGCAAAGATATGAGTATTGTTTCTTCTATCATTTCTCAATTATTTTTTCCAAATGTGGTTGCAAGCATTTCCAGGAATAAATTTAGGTCATATAAAACTTATGAATCATTTTGCATAAAAAATGCAAAACAAGAAAGAGCACTTCCAAATAGAAGTGCTCATATGAAGTTGACTTGAATAAATGTATTAGGATATTAAAAATTATATAATTTTAGATAAAACTTTATCTATTTTAGGAATATTTGAATTTTTTCTTATTTTATTAAAAATATTATTTAGATTATTATTTTAAAACTAATATCTTCACTTTGAAAGCTAAATTAAGTAAAAAATATAAAATCTCTAGTAAATGTAAATTTTAATAAAAGGATGAATCACTGTATATTCTGTTATTAAAGGATCAAGAGAGAAACCATTAAATCCTTGCCTTTGTATCTCATACCAATTGTAATCTAGGCAATTATATGTATGACTACAAGTAATAAATATTTTATTATTAAATGGAAGTAAAAATGACTAGTTAAGCACAAAAGTACATATTCAACTATGTGCTTTTTCAGCTTAAGATGAT